CATTTTGACTTGACATCATTATGAAAATTTGTTCTAGCGGATGAAGAAACGTCTAGCAGCGGTGAAGAGGATGATCCGGAGCTGAAAGAATTGGAAGAAAGAGACAATATAGTCTTGAAATATGAAAAGGTACGTCAAAGATAAGCGATTTTTTTCTGTTCCATTATGGGGTCAAGAATCTGCATCGTAAAGAGGTCACACGCATTCATAACATCAATTGACAATGCTCTATTGAACATGAATGTGTCATCAAAAACGCCTAAAATGCTTTTGTATAGGGCCCCGAATCGAAGGACATCGACCCTTGGGAGAATCCAGAGTTTGACGTTTATGCGAAGATGGATCGTTTTGGATTTGTGCAGTAAGTTTTTAATTTTTTGACTTTATTTTTTCGTTGTAAATTAGCATAGTTTAATGTAAAGAGTTCGTTTTTTTCTTGCAGCAAAGACGCTAACGAAGCCACCGAAGAAGAACGTGCAAATCGGCGAAGAGTTGAAAGAGAAATAAGACGAGTCAATAAATGGCTAGCAATGGAAGCAGTAAGTTTTTAACGATTTTTTTGTAACTTCAGCTCTTTTTCCTAATTCTTTGATGTTTCATATGCATTCTTTTTCTTTTGGATCTGTGGAATACAGGGTAATGTCATATTCTAAGCATGTTCAATGATTTCTAATTTTTCTTGCTATAACAGCCTGATCTGCTTGATATAATAGATGATCATGCATGATTAAATTGTTTTCCTTGATTTATTTTGTTTCTCAGGCATGGAAGAAGGGTCGAATACCTAAAAAGCTGGAAGAAAGGACATGGAAGGGAATCCCTGAAAAATTGCGCATGACGGTGAGGTTTTGAATTTTGTCCTTCCTTGTACTTTTGTGGTAGCTTGTTTTTCAATGCAGATCTTTTCTGTGGGTAGTTACTCTTTTTAGAGGGGTCTGCATTTTTTGTACTGTATTTTAACACATTCGCGACATTACGACCCACCGGTGGGTCGTACGTGCTCTGCCATTTCGG